TTGGCACGGGCTTATTTCGAGCATTTCCCGCTCGCATAACAGCTTTGGCATGATGAGAGTAATTTCATATTTTTTGTAGTGTATATGAACTAAGCTCTTCCGAATGGTATGTGTCTCGAGAGCTCAACTGGTGTAGTCGGAGAGAAATAATTTGAACGAACGAACGCACAGAAAATGCGCCAAGTGACAGTACGTGCTCCGCTCGCTTCGCGATTTGGATATCGCGAAACAAACAACGGATTGAAGACAATAAACACTCTGGCCTAGAGTGTATGTTGTTTCGAGGGACAATATATCTGACAGATATCCTGTCTGTAGAGACTGTCTCTAGGTCGGGAAGATAGAGAAAAACGGAACAAAGTAAACCTGGTGTATGCCAGTGTGGGGAAATATGCACATGGCCAACTACATGTGTTGGCGACAATATGGAAATTCTAGGAAATTTTTGTTGGTTTCTGAACACTTTTACTCGGACTCTTATGTAGACTTCTATAATTAGTGAGAAAACTCCTGAGCCTAGTTGAGGGAGCGAACGTTTACAATGACAATACTGATAATTGTCATTGTGAATGGTTTTCAGACTGTGTGTGTGAGCGTTGTTCAGCCGGTCATTGTTGTTACAGGCTGCTGGTGACACGATACTGCGCAAGTTGAGAGTGAGGATCCTCACGTACGCGAAAGGTTGGTCAGTTGAAGCGGATCTACCAGCTGGAGATGCATTTTCGAAACGGGTAGGTCAGTAGACTGATGATATTTATAGAAGACTCGTGTGAGCTCTGATATGCTATAGATGGTAATTGGTGAACACGAACGATTACACATTCGAATTAATAACACTATAGTGTACATGAACAATCACATATTCGAATTAATAACACTATAGTGTACATGAACAATCACATATTCGAATTAATAACACTATAGTGTACATGAACAATCACATATTCGAATTAATAACACTATAGTGTACATGAACAATCACATATTCGAATTAATAACACTATAGTGTACATGAACAATCACATATTCGAATTAATAACACTATAGTGTACATGAACAATTACATATTCGAATTAATAATACAAATATCAATTAGAAAATATGTTGGCTTTCCTCACCTGAGCTCGGGAGTGTCCTCACTGATGACATACGAGCTCTGGTAGAAACAATGAGAATTTCCAAAAATTTTCATATTGTAACCAACTATGTGCATATTTTCCCTTCACACTGATTTGATGGTATTGTTATTGAATTCAGTCGTCTCCATATTATCTCTTCATTACATCATCGCCATGTAAGGAGTTCCTCGTGACGGGTTGTGAAGCAGGAAATGTAAGCTCGCCATCTCCTGGGTTCACTAATACTCGGAACCTTCTCTCGTCGCGAATTTGTTATATAAATCGCGGAGCGAAGCGAAGCATACATTGTCACTTGGCAATTTACTGTTCGTTTGTTCAATATTCAACTACACTAGTTGAACTCTCGAGACACATACCATTCAGAAGGTCGTAGCGAACGATATGAAATTGCTCTTAACTCGAGGCTAAGTCATCCGAAACTGGTCTGCTTCGTGACGATGAGCAGACAGAAAATGCGCGAAAAAAGCCTCTCCTGGGAATCGAACCCGCGACCGTTACAAACAAGTCGAGCTCCGTTTCTTCGTGTGGAAGGCCTAGTGTGGAGAATGAGCATTATTGTCGGAGGAAAATGATAGTCGATCCGGAGACCTGTATATACAATTAAAAAATATAATAAAACAAATACATAATAAATGCTATAAACTGTGATAGACATAATACTTCTTCGAACATATGATAGCGACCGCAACTCCCTCAAGAGGTCAATCTATGACTACACGTATACGGCTCTAGACTGGGCATACGATGAATCAGATCCCTTCACTACATCGTTGATGATCTACTAGACTCGATCGAGCTAAGATGTGTTATATATACGGCTTACTCTTCAACGCTCATGTGTCAACAAGATATTCCCTCTCGCGCTTGTCGAATTTGATATGGATCATATTTGTAGATATTCATTTAT